TAACCAAATAAACTGCGTAAGACCAATAAACAATGCTAAAAATGGTTACCACTTTTGTAGCACTTCAACTAAAGCACTATAAGTTTTAGTTTCAAAAAGCGAATTAAACGCATTATCTGAGCCACTTTCAACCCAGATTTGGGAGCAGAAGCCATCGCCGCCTAGGAGATCAACTGTCTAAAAAAAATTACGCAAATCTTATCACGCTTCAAACAAAAATTCCTTTCATAACCATTCAACGCAATGAAGACCACTTTAAATGTAAAGGATCGGCATTCAAACTTAATCTCCATCATGAAAAAATAAGACAAATTTACTTTTTCTTTAACAGGTGCTGCTAAACAGCCACTAGATGAAACCTTTTGACTATCAGCGATATATTCTGGAAATAAAATTCTGTAACGGTTCTTCAGCCACCTAAAAGAGGAACATACTATTTCAACTGCTGATCTGTGAACTACAATAGCTGTACTGATACCTAAATGTAAACAAGAAGAGTACAATTCATTTAAAACCATTACATTTCAAATTCACCCTCAGGAACGAGATTGTTAAAACCTCCGCGAGGGTAACACCAACGAAACATAACCTTCCACACTTTCCTGGCTTCAAACCCACACCCTTGAAGAACAGCGAATAATGAGTCCAAAATTTGTGTTGCACTAGCGACCTTTTCTCCCCGGAACCAAACTAAAAATCGCGGATTCAAAAAGCAGAGAAATTATTTTAGATTATAAAACTGAAATGAAAAAACTTGCCGTACAGCGGACCGAAGACGAAATCTACAAGCATCTTTATATTAATACTTGCAATATCGGTGTATCCAAGAGAAGCACATCTTTTGAGCAATTTCAGCCTCTCTGACAAATTAGAACAGCTAAATACAACAATTTTTAGTACTAACCACGCAAAAATAAAAAAGCCCAATTAGACAGGATAAAGACTTTTTGGGAAAAAATTTACAGGAAAATGATTTACAAATTTTCTGCTAACAAAAAGACACCTAACAATGTTTAAAAATGCGGAACTCAACCTATTAAGACGGGAATAAGCGTTATAAAAATGTACAATTCTCCGCACAGAAACAGTAGATAAACCTTAACATCTTAAAAAAAATATTGAAGAGTTCTTCCTAATAACTAGTTCATGATACAATATGCTTCCACAATAACCTCTGTAATAACACCTTTCTGAATTGCATTTCAACCACAGCACCTACAAATATTCTCACAGCAAGATAATTTTAAGAGCAAAATTATGAGCAAAAAATGTGACTAATCCATAAGTACTCAATGACTATTTTACAAAACTTAACACTGAACCCCTTCTTTTAGCGGTTGTGATTCAATTACCGCCATGACAGAGAGAAATTCGCAAGTCACATGACAAGCAAGAAACCGCCAGAATACAAAGGTTCGTTCATAACATTGACAGTGAAAATAACTATAAGGGTAGAAGCCTTAAAACTGCCCTTTATCCCGTCGTCATCTGGACAAAAAAAGAAAACACTATAAAACAAAGTGGAAAACAAAAACTTCAAGCTGAACCTGCCAATGAAGGTACGAATGAAACACAAACCAAACCAAAAGTGGCATAATAAGATGAACACGTTCACGATGAGGATCTACTTCATTAATTAAGGCAACAAAATATTCCTGTTTTTCAGCAACGGTAGTTTTTCTGTATGTGAGGGTGCTGAGTAGAAAAAAGTCTTTGCACCTAATCCTAAAAAAAACAAACACACACTGGTACACATTGAATTTCAAAAAAAACGAAGAAACAAATAGATAAGCAATTAGCTTTATTTACCAGTTCACTAAAATAAAAACTTGATAATTCTAAGCAAATAACACCTTTCAGGTAAAATTCTGTCAAAAGTATCTATGACACTAAGCATTTTTTTCACTGGTTCTCTGTTAACTGCCATGGTGTGAGCAAAGCGTCCGACTATTTCTGCCTGTACTGCTGAAGCATGAAAAGTATACAAGTGAGGTACTAGGATATTCACAATGAAATTTTATTCTAAAATTAAATGCGTATAACTGAACATCTAGAACTCTAGCCTACATTTTTTATTCTGTGCATCCATAAAGTCCTGCACATTTACGATTTCCTTGAGCAAAAACAATGCAGATCCGTACCGACGATGCAAGATGTGCCTGTCAAGTTCGCGAATGAAATACTTGAAAAAGCCACTCTGCCGAGAAGCACATTTGAGCAGCTAAAATTTTCACACAAGAAGATTTGAACTTCAGAATTAGATAAAAAATCTCTTACCTCAGAATAAAGATTTGTAAACTCAAAGCCTTCTTTGTCAACACTACTCTTGGAAAGCACCCAAATGATTTCAAAGATATCGCTGTAAGGAATACAAGACACCTTCAGCTCTTTCTCATCATTCAGCGAAATTGCCTCCACCGATTTAGTCATGACCTTAAAAAACGTATAGTTACATTAGTTCACTCCTATTAACTACGCTATTCGAAAGCACAAAGTATCCAATACAAAGAATACATTAAACAAACTGGAATGAAATTAAGATCCTTCCAAGTTTCAAATGTAATTTTTTAAATCCTTCAAGGAAACTTAAAAAACTGCAGCAATAAAAATGAATTTCTTGCATTTTAAGCTAAACGTTTCCTGCCCCATCGCAAAAAGGAACCAAATCTGTTAGAAAACGGTAGTAAAAAACCTCTTCGAGTTTTCTGATGTCACGTCTCTCAGCTGTGCCTACAGCATATTCGTAAAGGCAACGATCTCGAGTGCCACCTCCATATTTCTCTACTGTACTCTGAAAAAGAACTATTAGAAAATCCTGAGAAAAACAATAAAAATGATCAATTTATTAAACTTAAACACCATTTGCTTTTCAAATAAACAAGTCTGATCAGATTTTAAAAGACAATTCGTTTGATTTAATCCCTAAACAACTGTTAAAACTAAAAAAAGTTCCTCCACCTGAATCAGGGAATCAACCTTATGGTAGTTTCCTAAGAGAGAGTACGACCGTATAAGCGCATAATTTAACGACGAACCCACGACAATTCCATTTTTTGCTGCTATCAAAGACAGTTTCCTGTAATTCCCTGTCTTTTAAAACTAATGAAAGAATGAATTCTAAACGCAAGACAGCCATGAAGACTTGACTTTTCTCTAGCGGAACCATATAAATAGTTTCAACTATACCTTAAAGATTTGACATCAGCAATACTTGCTGATCGGGATAAAAGAAGAGAAAATGTGTGTGCATCTGATACTAAAGCATATTTCCGTTCCAACTCAGGAAACACAGACCAGACGTTAAACCCAAACTCATTTTCCAAAAAAACTGACAAGCGACTGTTGAAAATCCTGATGTTGACCGTCACATCTAGTCAAATGATAAAATCATACTTGTTATAATGTAATGGAGATGCAATTACAGAAAAATAATTAGGAAAACAAAATGCCCCATAAAATTCGAAGAAAACTGTGGTGTACTTTGTTTCAAAAGTGCTTTCCAAAATCGATTGAGCACGTACAGCCTATCGTTGCTTGAGATATCTGACATTGCTCTCCCACACATTTGAATCAAAGTGGGAATAACGCACCCTTCTGATGCGTTCATAAATTTCAAAACTTTAGCTAAAAAAAAAAAAAAATATTCAAAAATGTTTATGTTCACAAGAAGAAAAAAAAACAATTTTAAAATCAAGAAAAGAAAAATTCAGGAATGTAAACATCCAACTCTCGTCGATGATTGAAAAAAATAAAATTTTTCAATTTTCTATGAACAGTGTGACACAGCCAAAACTAAACCAGATAAAAACCACCAAAAAGTAAGTTCCCCCTTCAACTCCTTCTAACCGAAAATAATATATAAGTGAGGTATGAACGAGTATTTATTACATCAAATAACTAACAATCTGCTCTTTCTAAAGGAAGTAGAACACCATCGACAAAATCGCTACTTTTAATTCGAAAATTCAAGGATAACTGGTGCACTAAAAAGGCAGGCATGTTTTCTGACTTTCTCTCTCCAATCTAAAATTAAAATGCATAATGCAAAAAAATAAAGTCAGCCTGTCCTAATATTTTTAGCTGAAACCTGAGGTTTCGGAACTCCGATAAAATCATTTCGTTTCAAAATTGAAGAACTGTTTAGTCGTTTATCCAGAAAAAAAAAGATTTCTGGGACAGCCGCAACTGAAACTCCTCTTCCGTTGTAGATAAGCATATGTTTTTTCCCAAGAGTAACGACACAGTTCTTGTGCCACATTTTCAAAGCCTTGGCGCACACCTTGAATAAAATAAAGTCATAAAATACAGTTAATTAAGTTCTTTAAAAGATTTTTTTCAAACAAGTAATTCCCCATTTATAGGAATAAAAAGAAAACTACCAATTATCCTACCGTTTTCACAGAGGTGTCGAAAACGACAGTAAAGTACAGGTGGAAATACTATTTCACGAAGGAAGTCACTTCTTTGACAAACCGCATAGATAAGAAAACGATAAAATACTTTTACACATTTATTGAAACTTATAAATCCCCTGACAAAATATGTTCAGCACACCTAAAAAAAATAAAAAAAAAATTAAGTAGGTATGACATTGAAAATAGCTAGACAAAAGAATGTAATGATTAATGAAAAAACAACTCACCTATCCCTCTTTAAATTAGTAAGATAGAACACTTAAAATAAGAATTCTAGAAAATTCTTACAAAGGCTTTTCATACAATCCCCAAAAGTT